ATTCCCAAATTTGCAAATTTCTAAATTTCTAACTTTTCACGCACCCAGATTCCCAAGTTTGCAAATTTCTAACTTTCGAAATTTTCAAGCACCCAAATTCCCAAATTTGCAAATTTCTAAATTTCTAACTTTTCAAGCACCCAAATTCTCAAATTTCCAATTTCTTAAATTTCGAAATTTTCAAGCACCCAAATTCTCAAATTTCCAAATTCCTAATTTTCTAACTTTTCAAGCACCCAAATTCCCAAATTTGCAAATTTCTAACTTTCGATATTTTCAAGCACCCAAATTCCCAAATTTGCAAATTTCTAAATTTCTAAATTTTCAAGCACCCAAATTCTCAAATTTCCAAATTCCTATATTCATAACTTCCTACACCTCCAAATTCTCAAATTTCCAATTTCTTGTATCCCCAACTTCCTACGCCCCTAAATTCTCAAATTTCCCATATTCTCAACTTCCCACTGTTTAATTTTAGAATCCTTGTTCAAATTTTATATTTTTAATTCCAGGATCTTTGTTCGAATTTTACAATATTCTTAGTATTAGCAGTTAATACTCAATTGCTCCTTTCAATTATTTTTTTTTTATTTTAGTTCGTTTTATTCTATTTTAGGCTACTTCTATGTTATTCTCCCTCTCTGTTACTCTATTTTATTTTACTCTATTCTAGTCTGTTTTGCTCTGTTTCGTTTCAATGCACTCCGTTTCACTTTATTTCACTCAATTTCACTCTATTTCGTAGTGCTATATTGTATTTTATTCTATTTTACTCAATTTCACTGTATTTTACTCTGTTTTACTTTGTTTTGATCTATTTTACTTTATGTTACTCCATTTTGCTTTATTTTGATCTATTTTACTTTATGTTACTCCATTTTGCTTTATTTTGATCCATTTTACTTTATGTTACTCCATTTTGTTTTATTTTGATCCATTTTACTTTATGTTACTCCATCTTGCTCTATTTCATTCTATTTCATTCTATTCTATAGTGTTTCGTTTTATTCTATTCTATAGTATTTTATTTTATTTTACTTAACTTCATTTTGTTCAATCTTCATTTTATTTTATTTTATTTTATAAGTTCTGACAAAATGAAGCTTGACCTAAATGACTCTAACCTCAAAATTTGTTGTCATAGTGATTTATAAATTAACAACACATATACTTGATACCTGTATGTACACATGTGATATCTACATATACAGTACATGTGTACACATGCGTGATATTTCTACTCAATCGTTAACATAACAATTATACTTGACAACATAATCACTCCCATATTCCCTTCAGTCAATATCCACCATACACCCAATCTATTTTCAGAAATAATAAAATAACAACAAAACACACACATAACAAGTGTGACATGTTTACCTCCTACTATCACAAATAACAAAAACTCTAAACAAACAAGTTAAAATCGATCTAACCATCCACTTGTCTCAATCATCCGCCATATTTAAAAGCATCCCATCCTCCTCGAGCGTCCATATTCAAAACACTTTGTGTTCTAAAATTAAAATATCACAGACGTTCCGTTTCACAAATAGAGACAACGAAAAGTATTTCTCGTCCATTGATTAATAATAATGAGAGTAATAATAGAAAAAGTGGAAACAGAGAACCGTAGCAGTTGATCTCGAAATGATTTGTCTTCATTGTTGAGCCAACTACGAGTGTACCTAGCGGCATGGTGGAGGATCAGTCGGTTTTACGTTCCCATAAAAATAGCTTCATCGGTGATAAATTCTTTTAAGAGCTTTTACACGGTCTTAGACTGCGTGAAGGATTTATTATATGCTCAAATTAGTAGGACTCAAATTAGTAGGACTGTCACTTTGCATTAAATTTCATCGAATTATTTTTAATTTTAACTGATTTTTTATTTCCATGGAATTTATTTTGAATTTCAATCATTTTTAGTGTATTTTGTAGAGTTGTTTTAGGGTTTTCTCTAAGTTTCATTTAATTTTATGGACTTCTCTTGTTTGTTACTAAATTTCATAGAATTTTCTTTATGCTCTTTTTTTTATAATTATCGATTCTTAATTGTCTAAATTTTCTCATAGAATGCTTTTTCAATTCCCTCTATTCACCACTAAATCTTATAAAATTCATTCTTCATTATTGAAATCCATAAATTTGTTCAGTTTTTTTGTTCACCGCTGAGTCGAAGCTCTCACTACAAAATGGCCGACCACAGGTTTCGACAAACACAAAAAGGCATGTAAAATCAAACACAATTTCATGACATAAAACTGTTACAAAATATTACTTGTAATACATCAATTTAAAGCTTGAAGCTTGCCAAAAATAACTGTATAACGTTTTAGTTGATACTTCCAATACAAAGCTACTGATCACCATTTGAAGCAGACAATGATCAACTTTGAGAGATGTAAAATATAATAAAATTTGATAACATAAAAATGTTACAAAATGGCACTTGTAATACATCAATTTAAAGCTTGAAGCTTGCCAAAAATAACTGTTTAAAGTTTTATTTGATACTTCCAATACAAAGTTACTGATCACCATTTAAAGCAGACAATGATCACCAGACAATGATCAACTTTGAGAGATGTAAAATATAATAAAATTTGATAACATAAAAATGTTACAAAATGGCACTTGTAATACATCAATTTAAAGCTTGAAGCTTGCCAAAAATAACTATATAAAGTTTTAGTTGATACTTCCAATACAAAGTTACTGATCACCATTTAAAGCAGACAATGATCAACTTTGAGAGATGTAAAATGTAATAAAATTTGATAACATAAAAATGTAACAAAATAGCACTTGTGACACATCAATGTAAAGCTTGAAGCTTGCCAGAAATAACTGTATAAAGCTTCACTTCGAATTCTTCATGGAATTTTTTTATTTTTACTAAATATTAAGGTTTGAATTAAAGTTAAAGTTTAGTATTCTAATTTTCTCCTCAATGTCTTTGCAATTTTCTCTTCAATTCTCCCTCTTCTTACAACTCCCTCTGATTCTCAATTCACGTAAAGTAACAAAAATCTCAGATTTCACAAATGTCATACCTCCGATTTCTTTATGGATCTCCTTCCGAACGACTGGAGATAACACATCCAACGTTTTATCACCAGGACGTTCGGTAATTGAATTGGCTATCATAAATCTGATGGATGGCGTTCCCCAAAGTTTTTTTTGGACTTAGCGTATATTCCGGTACCCGACTCCCGATATTCCCAAAAGGTGGTCCCGTAAAATTGAATGACCTCGTGATTTCGGCCAGTTTATGGTGTCATGCGGTCACGACCCTCGCCTGTATTGTATCGACGCCCGTATCGAACGGTACAAAACGATTTTCGTTACCGCCGTATCAAAACCACCGCATCAAATTCTCTGCAAAATCTGTGTGTACTTGTTTCACAAACGATATTCGAAATTCTGTGATGTTCTTGTTACAATTATTCTTATATTTTATTCTCTTTATGTAATTTTATTTAACTCGAAAGTGTACATTGATATATTATAAGATTTTTTGTTATTTAGAGATATTTCAGATCATTAATTTTTGTTGGATTTTAAACTGGATGTGGATTACTGTTTGGTTTAAATGATGATCAGTAACTTTAGGTTGAATTATAAATACTGTTTTGTGATATGTTTATGACATAAAATAGTTCAAAGTTTATGATGTACTTATTTCGCACCCGTTTATTTGGTACGCATCCTTCAAATAGAAACGTGTGAGCATTGTCTACACGTGTACGATAAAAATCACCCCAACGCGCCACGTGTAACGAGGAACGAGATGATAGAAAGAGACATTTACTCGTTCGATAGGGGAAAGGGCATATTTTTCCTTCCACGTGCATCAACATCGATTTTCCATGCCGTTTACGACTTTCTTAGCTCGACTATACGTGGAGAATTCTACTTGATCACGTTTCAAGAAAAAGTTCACAACCTTGCATCACTCCCTTTGGCAAAGTTCAAAGCTTTTAAATAGGAGTACAAGGTTTTTCTTGAAATTTATTTCAATTTTTATGTAACTTTCAAAACTTTGGTTTTGTTTTTCGATTTGCTGAGTAATTTTTAAGTTTGTGAATAGATACATTTGTGTAATTGTTGGGGCGTGGAGTTGTAGAGTTTCTGAATTTGTAAGTATTGAAATTGTGAGAGATTAGAAGAGTTCAAGTTTCAAATTTTGAAGTTGACAAGGTTTATAGATCCCAAGTTCTCAAATTTCTATCTTCTCAAATTACCAACTTCTCAAATTTCCATCTTCTCAAATCCCTAAACTCCCAAAACCCCAAATTCTCAAATCCTCAAATCACCCCATCCTCCACTCCCCAAACTGTCAACCACCAATATTCAAAAACTTCCTC